ATCCTGAGATCAGCGTATTTTCCAGGTGGACTCTTCAAACCTATGATTCTTTGTAATTCAAAAGGTCTCAGAGAAGCTGGATCAAGGAAAACTGAGCTAGAGATTTCCTCGGCAAATAAAAGAGTAATTTAACCGTCATCGGGGTTCTAATGAAGTCTATCTTCGAACCAGAAACGTTTGTTTTGGTACCCTTCCTCCTACTCAAGAGAAGCCTGTTATCTGATGCATTCTTATTTCATCTTGTCTTCTAAAAGGTGTCACACAGAGAAGTATCAGGGCACTGAAGACTGAAGTTTCCCTGCCCAATTTCTTCCGCTGGCTCATTGTCATTTTTTGGTCCTTCTCTCCTACCCTGAAACCCAAGACTTTGCTAAAGTTACACATCGGCTGTTCTTCGCTTGCATATGCAAACGGCAGGCTCGCCCTGCAGTTGCCCTTGAGACAGGAGCCCAACCTACCTGGGAGAACTTGTCTCTGCACTGAAGTGAGGTAATGTCTTTAAAAAAAAAAAAAAAAAGGCAGACACACATCCTTAAGGATGAGTAAAATTGCTTGTAGGTAAGGATTAAAGAAAGACGAACCTGGGATGAGAAGATAAGACTCCAGAACTGATGACACTTAGATAAAGGGAGCAGCTACTCCCTGGATCAAATGAACAAGACAAGAAATGGGCTGGATGTTTTGGAAGGGAGACAAAGACGTTTTTGTGACCGTTAAGTAGAAGAAGAGACTCCAACAAGGAAGTGGAGCAGAACGTACCACCCACCTGATTCCCAAGTAGGGTACATCAAAATGCCTGTTTTGCAACAATACAAACTCAGATAAAAAGGTACGCCTGCGTGAGAGGGGTGTGCAAACACACACACACACACAAACCAGTGAGAATGTTCGTAGCTCAGGGTTGAAATGAGAGGTTCTTGCTGCTGTAAGCGTGATTGTTTTCTTGTAGACGTTTCATTACCCAAACTAGGTAACATCGTCAGGGCTAGCGGTGATGATGCTATTTAGTTTGGGTAATAAAACGCCTGCAAGAAAAACACCTAAGTTCACAGTGCACCAAGGGCCTCTCATATGCACAAGCTTGCAGAGAAATTGTGGGTAGTCAGAAAATCACATTCCTTCCCCCCACCCCTCCAAAAATAATGCTTGAAAGCTGAGGACAGCTAGTCTTAAGTTCTTTCTTGCTTATTCACCTAGAAATATGGATGCCTCTCCGCTTTCTTTTAATCCATTTCTGCTGGAGGAGTTTTGGAAGCGATGGACCTTATGCTCCAACAGAATGTAATGGACTGGACAAGAAAAGAGCCCGGCTGCCTTTCTTTCCTGCCATTCAAGCTAGCTGTAGGCATGTCTGTATTCTAAAGGCATGGAGGAGGGGAGGAAAATAACAACTAGGTGGGGGGAATAAGATGAGCAGGAAAAAACTGTGAAGGGAGGTTAAATGGAAGCAAGTTTGAAATCAGAAAGCAGATGAAGGGAAGGGGGCAAAGGTCTGAAATGTTTTGTTTTCCTTCCAGGAAGCATGTTTTGCGGATCCCGAGAAGCCCAACAGTGTTTATATTTGCTATTAATGATACTCAAGGCATGCTAGAACATGTTGTTACAGCACCGTTTGCTTTAATCTCCAGATTTAAAATTCTGATTTTACAAGGGAAGGGAAGGACAGCTGTGACAAAGTCTTGAAGGTAAGAAAACTGGGTTCTTGCACAGGGTGGCAAATAGATGTCAGGAGTTAAAAACAAGATAAGTGAAAAATCTGGGGAAAAAAAAGGCTGAAAAGGCCAGCTGCCATCACCATGGGGCTCCAACTTGAGATTGGGGTCTTTCCGATATTCTTAAAATGCATTGCACCTTCAACAGTAACCCCAACGGGGTGTAAACTGATGGTAACA